CATAAAGACGGTAAAATTTTCAATTTTGGTGAATGGATCTCCAGAAGGTTTTTCTCTTCAAAAGGAGGTTTGACACAGGGTGATCCCTTCTCATCCTTTCTCTTTCTTATTGTCTTGGTTGGGTTTTTCTGATTAGGCAAAATGCACAATTTGACCGGTGACCATGGAAGTTCATCAGGAAGACTAAGGCCCCTTACAATTTCTTATGTTTTTTTTTGGCTTGTAGCTAGAGAAGCAAGTCTCACTCATGAAAACTTAAAAAGAAGGGGATTTCATCTATGCTCTAGATGTTGTATGTGTGGTGCAGCCAGAGAAAACAATAGCCATCTGTTTCTACATTGTCCTATAACTTGTCCTATAACTGGGAAATTTTTGTGACAACTTTTTTTGAACATGGTAGGACTAAGATGGTCTATGCCAGCAATAAGCTATGATTTATTGAAGTGCTGGAACTATAATGGTGGTGCAGAGAGACAAAAGAAGTGGTGGAAACTTGTCTCAGCTTGATATGGTGGACAATTTGGAAGGAGCGGAACTATAGAATTTTTGAAGACAATAGTAATTATGTGCAGAAGGTCTAGATGAATCGTATTTTTAAAATTTTTTTTTATGTAGAGGAGGCTGAATCACTAGTTGATATGATAGGTTCCTTGTAAAACAGTAGTCCTAAGCATGGTTAGGTTTTTGTAATTGTAGATAGCACTGTTATGGTAGATTACAGATCTAATATATATATACACACACACACACATTACCGGTTTCAAAAAAAGAAAGGAAGTATTATTTTTGAGAATGGTAAACTTTACTTCTATATCCAAATGTATACTACAACAAAATGTAGTCCCCCATCACAAAAAGTCTAATCTATGAGAATCAAGCTTTTCGCCTTCCGTAAGCGCATATAGGGAAGTGGGCCCTCGGCTATTGAGAGGACTTCTATTGTCTCTCTTTTCTTTATTGGAGTTTCTTGTTCCTGTGCCCTGGTACCGAGATCCCTAGTAATCTCTTGCAGTGTCAAAATCCTAATATATCTAATTACAGCCAATCAATTTCTGTGCTGTCCATAACTACTTGTTTACACCAAAAATAGAAAAGGTAGCAGTATGTCTTGATCTTTTGTATGTTGCTCTTTTTTCCTTCAAAACATCTCTGATTCCTCTCTTTCCATATGGTCCACCAAATACATGCAGGGACCATCTTCCATCTCTCCTCCTTCACTGCATTGCCATCTCTTTTCCAGCTTCTTAGCACTTCTTTGATTCTCCTATGTTTAACCCACGTGATCTTCCTGTATTGCTACTGTCCTCAAAACATCTTGAGTTACTTTATCTCTAAATTGGCCATCAAATGCAAGCAAGTCATCCTCCATCTGTCTCTGTGACCTGCTCCAGTTCCAGCGGTTCCATCTACTTCCCAACAAAAGAGAGCTTCAGTAATCTTTATTGGCATTGTCCAAGCTTATGCCCCTTTGAGATTAATAAAGATCTTCCATAATTGGTCAGTTATCCTGCAATGTAAAGATAGATTGCCAACCGTCTCCACCTCCTTTTCACTTAAATAACACCTTGAGTCAAAATGCATCTTTCTCCTGATTAGATTATCATGTGAGCACATCTTCATTTGCAAGTAACCCTGAGAAGCATGCAACCTTGGAGGGACTTTAGTCTTCCAAATAACTTCAATTGGTGAATTAAGGTTCAGGTTGATTTATCATTTTGTAAGCTGCATTAACTCTGAACTTACCATTGCTATGTCCTTGCCATCTCAATGTGTCATCTCCATTGTGTAGTCCTGTGAAGCTTTCGAAATTGTTTGTACTTTGTACAACTCAGTCATTCTATTCATCTCCCAATCATACAAGCCCCTTCTAAGTTTCAGCTCCCAGCCTTAAGGAGACCACATTTTAGCTATATATTTCTGTTGGTGTTGGAATAGATCATAAAAAAACAGGGAATAATACCCAGTTTCAAAAGAAAAATATCAGGGAATAATACCTTCAGAGCTCCATTCCCCAACTAGTTGTCATTCCAGAAAGTTATCCTGGTTCCATTTCACACAGCTAGAAACTTGATTCCTTAGAGCAGGCCATAGTAACCTGATAGACCTCAAAGTCACCTTGCTCTATAGATTTTGAGGGTCTTGAGAGTACCTCCATAATCACTCTAACTTGAAGACTTTGTTGTGGTTCTTCAGGTTTCTAATTCACAATCCACCTTGAACCTTGCTCACAATTAAAGATTTCCACTTGATCAGGTGAAAACCTTTTTTTCATTGTTACCTAGCAGTTAGGATCACATTTTTGCAACAAACCAAGCGGGGAAACATATCTTCTGTAGTACTTTTCCGTGCCAAGCGGAGAAACCCCCCGTGGTACTTTTGGAAACCATACTGAAAGATCCAAGTCTGATCAAGAGCTTCTCATACTATGACTTAACAGAAGTAACTCCATTGTTCCTTGCCCCCTCACCTCCATACATTATGACCTTTTTGTAGTGTACTTTGCATTTTAATTAGGCTTTGGAGCTCATTCAGCCTCCAATTCTGGAATTTCCTCCTAAAACTCGAGTTCCGAAATACTTTTCCATCTTGTAGTCTTTGACTCATGGACTGCACTTTATTCTCCTTCTGGCATGGCATGTGATTCTGTATGTGTTAGGAAAAGTAAGTCTCAAAATGTTACTTCTGTCTCCAGCGCCACCAACGTCCCATAAACCTTATCCTTCCCACATCTCCTACCTTGAATGATATGTTCCACTAAACCCTACCCATCCTCCAAAAATATTTCTCCAAGGCAAAAGAACATTATTCATTTTATTATTTGTTCTCCAACCCCCTTCCAAGACCTTGTAATTGTCCGCTATCACCTCCTTCCAAAAAACTTGTTCCTCTATGGGTCTTTTTAAACATCCATAGGGGTTGTTTGGTTGGTGCAATAAGGGATAACAATCTTGGGATAAATGCGGATTATTTTATCTCGTGTTTGGTTATGGGTGTTAATTAGTCCTGGGAATCATTTTGTACTAAAATAGTGGGATTAGCTATCCCATATAGAAGGTTGAATAGCTAGTCCCATGGGATATCTTTGTCTATCCCATCCTGGTAACCGGACAACCCCTTAGATCTTTAATCCCCTAGGTCACCCCAAGATTTAGGAGACGTCACAGTTCCCCACTGTACCAAATGGAACTTCCTTGCCCCGTTTGTTGCATCCCATAAAGGACTCCTTTGGAGTTTTTCCAACTTTTGCGTGACACTAGGTGGTGCATGAGACAAGGACATGAAGTAGGCAGGGATACTCAATTCACTCTTAATCTACACTTCCTTTCCTCCTTTAGACATCTGTTTCTTGTGCCATCCTAAAACCTCTTAAGAAAACCTTTGAATCACCAGATTCCTTTCCATTTTATCCTTATTAGAAGATCCTTGTGGCAATACAAAATTAGGTGGGAGGAAGAGCCCCAACCTTGCAATTCAATATGATCACATGATGTTGATCTTAAGACCTGACAACACTTGAAACCATGTAACTGCTGCACATCCCAAATATTTCAACTTGGTACTATCTGCATTGCAAAAAATTATAGTATCATCTGCAAATAATAGATAGAGATATGAGACCCACCCGGAACAATGTTCTGCCACCGCTGCACCAAAACCCCTCAATTAATCACCAGCTACAACCTTATTCTTCATGCTCAATGCCTCTATACAGGAATGAACAAGATGGAAGATAGTAGTTCTCACTTTTGCAGGTTGCTCGAGCTGCTGGAAAACTCTGACAAATTACCATTCATAAGACCTGTGTACCTAACGGCAGATATGCAACACTTGACCCAATTTCCTCATCTAACACTAGAAACCCATCTTCAACATTACAAAATCTAGAAACTCTTGGTTTACATGATCAGATCCAATTTGCTGATCAAAACACCTGGTACACCGTGCTTTCTTTTAGAGTCCATAGCTTCATTTGCCAACCAGAGTTATGTCTAGTATTTTTCTACCTTCCACTAGCATTTCCCGAAGTAGACATGGTCTCCTCTAAGATCTCCTTTAGTATATCGGAATGCATCTTAGAAATAATCATATAGATGCCTTTTTAAAAAAAACTGGTAATGTTGTATTCCTCAGCATTAAGGATATGCTGGATATTGAGAAATAAATCTTATAGATGCTTTTGACTAAACTAATAGGTCTATAGTCTTTGATGCTTGTTGCTCCTGCCTTTTTTGGGATGATGACAGTGAAAGATCTGCTGAGTTTTTTTTTTCCTTTCAAATTCTTCCCCCATGAAATTCCTCCATGGTCTCATTCACCTCACCTTTTACTGTGCAGAGCACATGTCTGGAAGAATGCCAAAGTTAAACCATGGTCATTTTCTTTTATTCTTCTGATCTGAATATTGTGCAAATGCTTTTGTATTATTTTGGTGGGAAATTGGTCAAATTCTTGCATGGATGTCAATCTGTATTTTTGGGTTGAAAAGTGATTTCCTTTGTCTTTCCCCTTTCTCTTTTTAACTTGTGAAGTTCAACTGTTGTATCATAGTTTCTTCCACAAAATAATGATTCCAATCAGTGAATTGACCTAGAGAAACTAGAACTTGTTCTTCTTCAGTGGCCTTTCAGCCTTGTATATACAAGTGCCATTTGTGCGTTCTTTGAGATGTTTATTTATATTCCCCATTTTTGGCCCTCTTTTGGATAAATTCGTATGCATTTCTGCATCGTGATTATTGCACCAATGTATTTCTAGATATATCAGGACCATTACATGTTTTTAAAATTCTTCATTTCTCTTATGGTGGCTATAAATTCTGGATTCTTTTCTGCTTCAGACTTGCTGTGACAATATATTTCTTGATTATGAGCGCCCAAAGGACATTATACCTTCCCAAAGAAAAGAGTTCTGAAAGACATCGGGATAATATTGTTGCATTTTGAACAGGGACATTAGGAAATACATTAGTGAAATCACTTTGTTATATTCTGATTATGCAGATTCGCTCCATGGATATTCGTTGGATAGGTGATGATCCTGGAATATCTCGAGTAGGAGGAGCTGGTGGGCCAGGCTATGGAGGAGTTAATACTCTAAGTGCTGGAAGAGGGAGGAGATTTGCTAGGCAACAATTTGAGAATGATGTCAATGCATCAGAGAATAGAATCGTACAGAAGACATCAGATGAAATTGAGATTCTGCACACAGCAACACTGATAAAGAAGGTAAAATAGTGTGTTGATCTTGGTCAACTAAATTACTCATACATAATACATCACGTGTAAGTCATTTTATTTTTGGCCTTGTCGACTTACCAGGTTGAGAAGGTTATTGATGCAAGTCACCCTGATCTGGCTGAGCTTGCAAAGGCAAAGAAAATGCTCAAGGTAGAATAAGTTAAACAGTTCCTTTAGCCCATATATTTGTTTTCTTCTGGCGGCTGAAACCTGATTATATTACAGGAACATGAACAAGCATTAATTGATGTGATTGCCAAACTCACCGATGTTTGTGAGAGTGGAAGTGGTATGAAATAATTACAGTTAAAGGTTATTCTTTTAAATTGGTGCAACTTATCCAAAATTTGTGTTTTGAATTGAGCTGAGTCTCACTTAATTGCTTTTTGTCCTACTATGTTGTGTTAGAGAGCTTCTCTGCTGCCAGTTTTAATGCAAAATTCCTCAAAAACAAGCCACACTTTCCAGTTGCTGCACTGAAGAAAAGTTGTAAAGCTTTTTATTGCATAAGTTTGAGAACATTTTTCAACACTTATTGAAGAACAGTCCAAATTTTTATTTTTTGGGAATGGTTGCCAACGATCATTTGTGTACTTTTTTTCCCAACAATTTCCCAAACTGGATTTTTTGAAATTTGAGTTTGTTTTCTACCACTTAGCTGCTTCCAAAAATTTAAGTGAATTCTTCCGTCAACTCTATGGAAGTCAATCCGGCTTTTCTGACAGTAATGAGTGATTTGACTAGAGAAGTGGATCGTAATGTCCTGATTCAATTCATTGCAAGAATTATAGTAGTCTAGCAAAAATACATGCATTGTTATGTTCTTAAAAATCCATGGTCAACAGAAGTTTTAAGTCGTAAAAGAGTTTTCCATCTGTCCATATTCGCTTAGTAGTGAATCCAAGGAGAAGATTTGTGTAAATCTTGGAAGATGCAACAATGGAAATTGTGTTCTTTGATTGACCCTCCTTCTGACAACTGTTGAATGCAATACCAAAATATTTGCTTGATTTTGAAAGCCATATATCTATATCTTCTGTTCTTTTTTGGTTATAATAATTTATTTTTATATGATTAGGTGGGGAACCACCATTCTTCCATAAGAACGATCTGCTGGGGAGCAATCATGATGGTGTTGATATGGAGCCTGGGATGAGGGCAAGTGGTCAAGGCGCACCGGAAAATCATCCAGATGAGGATGTCATCGTTATTTAGTTTCTTCCTTTTTCATAATCATCATTTCTAGGCAATACATTCTGTCTATTTAGATTCTGGAGCTGAGCTGCCAAACATCGTATTTCAGCTCAATGGATTATAGTGCCAACTTTGCTGTCGCATGAATTGTGCAAGACAACGTAGAGATGTCTTTGTATGTTATGTTATTACTCTTTAGTTGTGATGCTACAACCCCTGAATAAAGCTGCTTCAATTTGGCAATACATTTTGTCTATTTAGATTCTGGACCTGAGCTGCCAAACATCGTATTTCAGCTCAATGGATTATAGTGCCAACTTTGCTGTTGCATGTATCGTGCAAGACAACGTAGAGATGTCTTTGTATGTTATGCTATTACTCTTTAGTTGTGATGTTACTACCCCTGAATTAGACTGCTTCAGTTTGTTTTCATTCCCTAAACACATTTTTATTTTTTGTGATGGTATGTATGGTAGTGTGTATGATAGCTATTATCTCTCACTAATACAGGTACAAGATATTCTTGATACAAATGAAAGGAATCCACCTAGCTTCTCTCTATGCTGGGATTTACTTCTCAGGACATTCATCCATTTCATAGACTAATATTCTCTCATCTTTAGGTGTCTTTCCACCAAGGCTTTAGACATGAGAGGAAATCACCTTTTGTTTTTGTTTAGGTACTATTTTCATAGAATATTTGGCAAGTGCTTAAAGAATAGCAAAGCAATAAGAAAGGGATTGATTGCATGAGTTGTGTTTCAAAAATAACTTTGGTAGGTAATTGGATAAGAAACGAGTTATCTATGTTTCGATTTTTGTGTAACTTATATGATGTTTAATAGATAGATATGAAATAAATTATTCATGTATAAAACTAATACAACATTTGGTTGACAATCTAGAAACCCACTAGATTATGAGAAAATCTGTGTTATTATAACACTAATAAATGAGATAAAATATGAATTCACTCATAACTAATTCTTGTATAACTCTAGCTTCTGGGTAAGATCATAATGTGGTAATGAATTGAAGAATGAGGTTGACCATGTCTGCATCAAAAGCAGGACCTTCCATCTGAAAATGGGTAGCTCCTTGAATAAGATGAGTTGTGTTATGTCCAGCAGCATCCTTCAACTTGTTCTCCAATTGTTTAACGCTAGTAAACCCATCATTAGTACCCATGACAAACAGTTTTGGCTTAGGGGATTGTAATATAGATTTTTGATGCCTTCCAAAAAGAATCGAAGCAGTGAAACCAAAAGGGTATCCTAAGCTCACATACCCAACCACTTGCTCTACTTCATCAACTGCAGATCCCGCTATCGCTGCTCCTGTAATTATTTATCAATCACAAATTCAATACAAGAATAATTCAAGTCTCAGATCCAATAACAAACAACAATATAGATTGACCTGCAGATGAACCAATAAGGATAATTGTGTTTGTAGTGAAATTGGTGTGAACCCATTTGCAAACAGAGATAACATCGTTAATTTCAGCAGATCCAGTGAGGGAAGCACGACCACTGGATTTCCCAGCACCTCTAGTGTCAAAAGTGACAGCAATCACACCTCGACTTGACAATCCCTTAGCAATGCCTCTCATCAATCCTTGACATCCACCAAGCACAGAATAAGGATGCACTAATACTGCAACAAAACTGGAATTTTCCTCTGAAGTTGGCCGGTAAATACGACCGTCCAATATTACACCGTCGGTGCTCTCAATGGTACAACTGCTTCTGCTATAGGTACCACTTTCTTCCGCCATAGCTTACCAACAGTGTAATTGCAATTGCAATTACTAATAAGGCTGTTGTAGCTTGGGTCGTTGAAGGAGTAGGTTTCTATATTTTGTTGGTTGCAGAAATAAATGCAACAAAATTAGATGAACATTTTATTTAAAATATTTGTTCCATATTATTTGATTACTTAATAAATTACTTTTCTCATTTTACCCTTACAATTAATATGACATTTGGAAGCATAAACAAATTTTGAAGATTCAATATTTTTTTTCAAGAGGCTAATTAACCAAAATAAAGGGTAAAATAGTAAAATTGATTAATCTATTAATGATTTTTTAATCATCATATAAAATAGAAAGTGTCTATCTAACCTAGGACAAAGAGTGTATTTTTATTGTTAAATCAAGCCACATATCTATTTAAGATTATATATATATATACTAGATACAATGGAGCCCGTGCAAGCATGAGCCCAATAATTGTTAGTTTATTTGTCTATTTATATGTCTGATTCATAATATTTTTAACGTAATTTTAAAAATAATATGTTACTGTTTAACCCAATTTATGTAGTACATGTGAAATTTCGAAAGTTAATCACATTTTTCTAAATTATCAGTGTTAATTTAAATTTGAGATTGTTTGAGTTTTAAATTAAAAAATATTTTTAGGGAAAGTGAAGCGAAAGACGTACAAAGAAGTAATTTTAGATACTTGCAAAGAGAAGTGAAAAGTTTGTTAGGGAAAAGGCACTACACACACTTCAAATTAGATAAAGTAGTATATGAAGGTTAAATTTCAGATTAGTTTCCGTCTTTATAAATTTCTAAACTTGACCCTAAGTACCTAAAGCAAGTTCCTCTCATTGTAAATTTTGAAATTTGATCCCAAATTGCTCTAATTCATATGTTTTTAAATACTTTAAGTTGCAATTAATAGTATTCATAGAGGAAGTTGAAGAAGAAGGGCAAATCGGTCAATTGACCGACTGACCCTAAGCTCCTAAACATTCTCACTTCTAAGTGCAAGCACGGGCACAATATCCGTTAAATTGTTAATTATTATGATTTATAATATTTTTTACATTATTTTCAAATAATATATGTTATCTATTTTTAAATACTTTAAGTTGTGACTAATAATATTCTTAATGAAATTCCAAATAATATATGTTACTCCATTTGTCCCAATTTATGTGACACATGTGAAATTTTGAGAGTTAATATGTTTTTCAAATATTGCAAGTTGTTAACTATTGTGGTTTATGGTATTCTTAATGTAATTTTTCTAATAATATATGTTATTCCCTTCGTCCTAGTTATACAGTTCGCGTAAAATTTTGAGAGTTAACCGAATTTGTAATATTTTAAATTTATTTTTTACTACTATTTAAAAAGGAAAAAATTAAAAATAATGAAAGAGGAGTGTATAAAAGTAGGTGGGCCAGCTTTGTGATAGGTCAATGAAGTGTGCTCTCAATAAAAGAAACTTAGTTCCTTTATTTGTAAATAGAGAAACTTGACCCCAAGCTCCTCTCTGTTCCCACTTATTATATATAGTAATACTTTTCAATAATTATTTATATAGTAGTTAAATTACAAATTCTAACATATTAAGATTATTTTATATTAGATTAATTTTGTTTTTTTAAGGGAAAATTGTATGAAATAGCAAACTATTAATTCAAATTAAATGCTATAGCCATAGTTTCTTTTATTTGTAATTCGCAACAAACATTTCGTGTTTTTTGCCATCCCATTTATATACCAAAATATACAAAATGCAGGACCCATTTGTATACCGAAATATACAAATAGACCCAAATACATATTTTTTTTAGGGAAAAAGGACGAATTTACCCCCGAACTTTAATAAATGGTACGTATATGCCCTCCGTTATACTTTGCGTTCACATAAGTCCCTGCCGTCCAATTATAGGTACACATATACCCCTCTCACTAACGGATTCCTAATTTTTTACACGTGTCTTAATCCTATTGAACTACCCGTTTGACCCTTTTTTTTAACCCATAACCCAACTATCCGCCCCATAACCCAATACCCATCGAATTTCCTCTAAAAGGAATCCTAATTAAAACACCCAAATCTACGGCATCAATGTAAAAACAAGTGCCGGCTCTCCGCAACGTTTTCGGCCCTTTATAAAACAGAGTTGGCATCTTTTGGAAACGCAGCCAAATAGCTTACAATTGTACATTTTCCGTCAAAACCAAAGAAAATCTCATTTTGTTGTTCTTGTGGTGAGAGAAACCCATACATAAATCATGTGTGGTGGTTCTATAATCTCCGATTACATAGACCCTAGCCGGACTTCTCGCCGGCTCACCGCCGAGTTGCTATGGGGTCGTTTCGATCTCAGTAAGAAGCAAAAAAATCCCAACAATTATCACTCTAAGCATTTGCAATCTGAAGTTGTTGACGACTTTGAGGTAGATTTTCAGGACTTCAAAGAGTTATCTGATGATGAGGATGTTGAAGTCGATGTCAAGCCATTTGCCTTCTCTGCTTCCAAACACTCAAAGAGTTCTCTTCTAGTTTTTTTCTGGCTTGAATTGAGATTTTGTGTCTGCTAGTGAAGTTATTGTTGTATTATTTTGAATTTATTCAAGTGGACAAAATGGTTAACTTTGGAAATGAGGGATCCAAGATGCTATTTTACTTAATTAGCTAAAAAGAAAAGAAAATTAAACTAATAGGTCTGATTTGAGGGAGACGACAGATAGATGAAAAAGTGACTACGAAATTATGACCAACACATGATAGATTCGACGAAGACAAGGTGGAATCGACCAACAAACTGAAATCGACGAAAGAACTAGGCTAGGTTGTGAGAAACGGGACCTTTAGATTTGGGTGTTTTAATTAGGATTCATTTTAGAGGAAATTGGGTGGGTATTGGGTTATGGGGCGAATAGTTGGGTTATGGGTTAAAAAAAGGGTCAAACGGGTAGTTCAATAGGTTTAAGACACGTGTAAGAAATTAGGGGTCCGTTAGTGAGAGGGGTATATGTGTACCTATAATTGGACGGCAAGGACTTATGTGGACGCAAAGTATAACGGAGGGCATATACGTACCATTTATTAAAGTTCGGGGGTAAATCTGTCCTTTTTCCCTTTTTTTTTTATGTATATGTATACCGAAATATACAGATTAATAGCCATACCAAACATAAAGTTTGCTATGGAGCGCAATTATACAAAGTATAGCTATAACATATAAATATGATTTTTATGTTTGCTAAACCTAAAATTTACTCTTTTTTTAATCATCATATGCAAGAGTAAAAAAGAGAGCATGTGGTTATTTTCCTTTTCGAGAAAAACTTTTTACTATATTTTAAGGATTTGAGTTTAGGACAATCTCAACAAGTTTGAGGGTCTAAAGTTAAATTTCATAGAGAGACCTTAATTTTTTTCTAGTTGACATATATAAATTGAATAACAATAACATATTCAATGTAGTTATAGAAGTGAGATCTTGAGAGGGTAAGATGTGCGCAAACCTTATAAAGTAAGATGTAGACAATGTAAATTTTCAACAAAAAAATATAATATAAAGTTAGAACAATAAATCCTAGCTCAAGAATTTGAGAAGTTAATATAATGAAACAAAATAGTAATACTACAACAACATACCTAGTGTAGTCCCACATAGTAGAGTCTGAGGAAGAAAAAAATGTGTACAAATTTTACCTCTACTTCAAAGGTGACGTTGACAGGCTATTTCGAAAAGACCCTTGACTCAAGAAAAAAATAGTTTAGAAAAAACCGTAATGAAAGTACAAATGACAACAGAAAATAACAAAAAACAACAATAGTTGCAGAACAATACTACAACAACAATCCTATAATTGAACTACATGAAACAACAAATAGTAACATAAACCGAAGAACACAAAACTACAAGAGTAGTACTACGCCGACTAGTAAGAGCAACAAGACAAGACACTCCTACTTACTAGTATAGATGCATTCCTACCTACTAACCATGTACCCTAATAATTTGTTTCCTCCACACCTTCCTATCTAAGGATATATTCTTAGTAAGATGCAATGGTGTCATGTCTTGTCTAATTATCTCTCTCCAATACTTTTTTTTTGTCTACCCTTTCCTCTTTTGAATTCATCCATAGCCAACCTCTCACATCTTTGCACTATCCTTACCACATACCCGAACCATCTCAATTTCACTTTTTACATCTTGTCTTCCATCGAAGTCACTCCCACTTTGTCTCAAATATCCCCATTTTAAATTCTGTCTCTCCTAGTATACCCACACATCCATCACATTATTCTCAGCTCCGTCACTTTCATCTTCTGAATGTGAGAGTTCTTGACTGGCTAGCACTCAACTCCATACAACAAAATAGTGTTTCACTGAATTTGAAAAGTTGATATAATGATATTGAAATAATGTTGACTTGTTGCGATGCTAGAAATTTGAAGAAAGCACCAAAAAGCAAATTTATTTTTTTGTTAAGCAAACAACAATAGATTTTACATAATGTAAAAGGTTTGACCGTTTGGGAGACTTCAGAATGTTCAATAAAAAGAGAATAAAAATAATGAAAGAGGAATGAAAAGGGTAAATAGTTAAATAATAATGTGGATTCATTTTAATCGCCAGAATATAAATGAGGCAAAAACTACATTTTTACATAAACAAAGTATATTAACCTTATAATTACCACTTATAGTAGTAGAATATGTTTTTCCATCTATAACATCATTTTCTTAAAAATCTATCTCCGTCTCTCACTCCCACTCCCCGCCTCTCTCTCTCTCTCTAGTGTCCATCTTTCTCCCCCTCTCTCCCCCCTTCTTCTCTTTTCTTCCGTCTTTTTCTCTTTTTTTTTTTTAAATATAAATTAATTTTCCTAACTTATGACTTGATTTTGGATTGAGTATTATTGAAAACAATTGAGAATTTCTTTGAACTTATATCTTAATGTTTAAGGATTTTGATGAAGAAATAACATTTATTTTCTTTGATGATATTAAG